CACCCGGCGCCTGCTGAATCCAGTTTCTCCCCTTACTTACACCATGGCATTTTATTTTCTGATTTTCCACCACCTTGTAAAATTAAGAAAACTTCCTTAAGCAGGTACCTCCCCACCCCAAGCCCCTGTCCCACCTTAGCTGCATGCCTGTGCTCCACGAGCAGACATCCTTCCTCAGGAGGAGGTTGTTCAAGGCGACCGCGTTGATCATGTAGAAGAGCTGCTTGAAGACCTGCTGCACGATCTCTGGGTCCAGCCCCTGGTCACACATGATGCCGTGGAAGGTGTTCAGTTGGCGAATGATTGCGTCTAAGCTGTAGGAGCTGTCACCATCTGCCATGCTGGAGGAGCGATTCCTGTAGCCCATTGGTTTGACACCGGAAAGCCCCTGGATACTCTCATTTTCCAACACCGCAGACACTAAAAAAAAGAGGGGGGAAAAAAAAAAAGAGTTAAAAAAGCCTGCATCCACCTAATAGGCACTAGAGGTAAGAACCGATCCCTCCGTGGGCAGTCGTAAACATGCAGCAGTCTCAGCGATGCAACGCGATGGATGCTGGGAGGTCTGAAAGCAGGACAGATCCGTGAACTGCTAAGTTTACTGTGATAACATGAAATAGTTGAAGCACACAAAATATCTGTAAAAATCCCACTTTTTTCCCTTGATGTTACTACGCAGAAATCACTCGCCATGCTGCAGAAACAGGGAACAGCTCTCCTTTGAGTTGTAATCCATCCTCCCTCTATACCCACCAGAGAGCTTTAAATTCCGCAAAGTGATTAATTGGCTCAAAGGATTGGGAGAAATGAAGATAGATTAAAAGTCATAAAATTCTTACAGCCTGACTAACTGATAGAGGAACAGGACAACTTTCTGCAAGGAGCCAGAGGTGCATGCAGCGATGGTAGGCAGCGATGCCAACGAATACAGCCAGAATTTGGGTAATGACATTTGGAGCGTAAAGGGAAAGACTCCCAGATACAGAGGAGTCCAGGCTCTAGAAAATATAAAATATTTTTGAAATAGAAAATATAAAGCACTGAGAACAGCCTCTCAATTAGCTTAGCAAGGAGGAGGACAGATTTAGCTGAGGAGGTAACTCTTCTCCTGCTGACTCAGCCCTTGCCAAACAAGGTCTTCCTTAGTCTCTTTCTCCTCTTTGCAATTCTCTCCTCCCTCATAATGCACATTTCTACCCATAAAAAGCTTAACCATGAACCTGGTCTGGAGGGGAATGCTGTTCCTACGGACCCACCAGCACCACCTCACCTCTGTCACTACCTCCCCAACAGAAACAAAGGAAGTATTTTCTATCATAGGGGGAAAAAAAAAACCCAAAAACCAAAACACACACTCATCCCTATTAATTTCTGTAACGGGGAAAAATAAAAACTCATCCAGGTCTGTCTCCCAAACTCCAGGTCAAGGCTTACAGGAGAACCTGCTCCAAACCAAGACTTTTTTTTTGTAATATACCCCTCTCTACCAACTGCAGGATTTTCCTTTGGGGAAAAGGAGCACAGTCTAAAGGTCTGAAAAAACACGTAGAGTAGATAATTACAGCACAAAAAAAAAAAAATACCCTCCTAAAGGCTAACGTGCTGTGAACTTACCGATCATGGGTTGGAGTATGCCCTCTGCTATTTTAATGAGCTGCTGGTAGATCTGGATGGAGAGGTGGCTGAGCACCTGGCGGTACTCGGTCAGGTCAAAGTTCTTCAGACAGTGCTCGTTCTGCTTAGGTGTGTTTTGTGTCATGAAACCCTGAACAGAAAGAGATTAAAACACCTGGTTTCATTATTCCACCTATTTATAGTCCAGTCAAATCACTGCATTAAAAAATCAGAGTACAGTATATATCCAGGTATATTACCGAAGTACATTTTTAGTCTATTATAGAAAAGATCAAGACTCATAAATCACCTTTGATTCACTCAGCCATTTGTTCGTAAATTATTACTAGAGGGCTGCTTTTTGAAGAAAAGCATCATTAAGTGATAAGTTTTTCATTTTAGCTTTAGCAAGGTGCCAAATTTGTATTAATTGCAATATATATATATGAACTAGAAAAGGACATTTCAGTCCCCGAGAAACTTTTTTTAGCTATTTGTTTATCCCTGTGAGATGTAATTATTTACGGGAAACCAAATATTTTGAGTTTAAAATTTTAGGAAAAAAAAAAAAATAACCACATGCTATATGCTTGGACATTTTAAACTGATCTGAAGTTCAGAAATCTCTCCAAGTAACTGAATTTATTCCCTGCCTTTTGCTGAAGGGGCAGCAAACTCTGATCCTGAGTTCTGGGCTCAGACATGAATGCCAGTTTTGCTAGCAGAAGCAAATGTGATCTAACTTAATTTTGTAATTAACACAGATGCTTTAATTGCCTGTTCATATGGTCTTATCAATTTGGTGTCAAAATGACAACTATGCGTCTTTTTTTGTTGTTTGCCGCCTAGCAAAATGCAAAAATACAACACGTACAATTTGAGCTGACTTCAGAATTTCTCCATTTTCCCGACTAATGAAAAAGTGTCGTGCTCTTTGCAAGACTGCATTTAATTTGGGATTTTCTTTTACACCTGTTTTCTTAAAAATAGGTTGGATTTCAAACTAAAAATAACAGTATTTCAGAGACTGCTCAGAATGGTTATTCCTCACTGTCTTTTCCACCAAGTTACGGTTCATTTAACACAGTAAATCACGGCAAAGAATGTGAAATTTAAGTTTGGGTTTGGTTTTTTTTTTTTTTTTGACCCTGCTGGTTTTCTGGGGAAGATTTTCTTTCAACGTAATGTTGTTATCCAGGCAGAAGAGGGCAAACAGGAGCATAATATTAGTAAGTATTATCTAAATTATTTTTCTTTTTAATTTAAACCTTGGAAGGTTTTACACACCAGTCATTATCTTGTGAATGACCCGAATAGTTAATTTGATTCCATGGAATTTTTTTTATTTATTCTTAAAGCTTGATTGCTCGATATATCTAACACAAATCAAGACTAAATGAGAAATGACATAATTTGGCTCTGTAGAAAATTTTAATACCCAGAATGTATGGCTATGAGAATGGCAGCGTGTAATGTACTGAGAGGACTGTGACGATCTGATTTTATTGGAAGGGATCGGCTATAATAAAACTTATTTCAATTTATGAGATATTACTGATGTGGCAAGAAATGAGAAGATTTCCTTCCCAAATCTTACATTATGATTATACATTTTTGTGCTCTCAGAGTGTGGTTATTTTGATCTAGTTGAACAGAACAGGGGGAAAAAAAAAAATAAGCAAAAATATTCAGAATAAAATTGCCATATTTGGAATGGTTTTCTCCTGTCTAAAAATCTTGGTTAATGAAAAGCTGCAGGACCTACTAAAACCAGGGGAACAGCCTTCAAAACAGCCTACCAGAAGGAAATCCCCTTTTCAGACAAATCAAAGTGCACGGTTGGCTACGAAATTCAAAATATTCTGTTGCGGGTTATGTTGTAAGGGTTCGGATTTCAGCTCTCAAATGTCTTGTCTCAGTGCAATGCCTCATGAACCTCTGGTCTAGTTCAGACTAGATTTAAGGAAGCAATGTTTCACGATGAGGGTGGTGAGGCACTGGCAGAGGTTGCCCGGAGAGGTGGTAGATGCCCCATCCCTGGAAACATCCCAGGTCAGGTTGGCCGGGGCTCTGAACAACCTGATGGAGTTGAAGATGTCCCTGCTGATGGCAGGGGGGTTGGACTGGATGGCCTTCAAAGGTCCCTTCCAGCCCCAACCACTCCATGATTCTATAATTCTAGGAGCTGCCTCATGTTATATTCAAATTAACAAAGGAGGAAAGTCAGAGATGATCCCACACTGTAGCCCAAGGGAAGCCACTAGACCCAGGAGACCTGAAGACCCTTCCTGGAAGAATGCCAACACAGTCAAGATTAGAGACGAGTTTCTTACCGCATCTCCGCTGTACTGCTTTAAACAGTGCAGGAGGCGACATGTATTCGCCAGCCAAAACGACGTCATCTGAAAATCATCGTTGTGTTTCTGGAGGAGCAAAATTAAAACATGTGAGACCACCCCCCTTCAGTGGGGGATGCTGATATAGCAAGACAAAGTGATTTTGATTTTGAGTTTCCCCACCTAGAATCAGGAAGCTCGCTCTCTCTGCAGATAGGCAGCATTAGCCATTAGTTCCCTGTGAACATTTGTTTTTTAATCTGTAAATGCAAACAATTTTATTGCTAAGATCATAATTCTCCTTGTTCTTCTAAAAAGGGAAGCTGTAAGCATGACTGGGTTTGAAAATCACTACGAGTCTCGAGTATCACACACTTTGACATGGTTATTACCATCCTGCACCATCTCAATCCCAAGACAAGAGAAAACGGACGCCTACCTTCAGCACTTTCTTAATGCCGTTGATGGTGGAGGTGAGCAAGGAGTGCACTTTCTGGTCATCGTTGATGTAATCCGCGTGTCTGATGCACATGTAGAGGATGTAGGCAGGGAGGCAGGGAACAGTAGCAGACACTGCCTGGGGCTTGAGATCTAGAAGGTTTGGTGGGGTTTGGGTTTGTTGTTTTTTTTTTTTCTTTCTTTGCTTTTTAAAAAATCCTCTTAAAATTCACCAACTGCCAAGTGACACAGGGAACACCAGAGCTGGAGACGTACCCGGGCAAACCCCTCTCCCCCCAGCCCTGGGGAAGAGGAAATTTTGGCTCTGCTACTTGCATCCCTCCCTGCAGCATGGACACAGAACCAAAGGTCCAACACTGCAGGACAGGCAGACCTGCTGGAGCTGGCCAAAGCAGAAAAGCCACAGCACTAGGGCTCGGGAGGGTAGCGTTGGCTGCGCTGAAGTTTGTGACCCCATCTTGTTACACCTTACGGATGCGCAGGTAGCACTAGATCTTCTTTACCATGTAAAAGCCAACCTAAATAACCTTAGAAAAGCTCCCTGAAGCTTTCAGGAATACCTCCCACAGGTTATAAACCTTCACTTCTGAATTTGTGATGTAGTAAATCCCTCTTTCACT